GGAGGGCGTGTGTGAAGATAGAGAGAGAGAGAGAGAGAGAGAGGGTGGAAGGAGAACCAAGGAGAATTGAAAAAAGGAGTCACAGAAGAAGATATGTGTGCAGGAGAGTAAGAGAGAGCAAGAGGTAGGCTACAGGAATATACAGGATCCAGAGTACAGACATGCCAGAGAACGAGCGAGCCAGAAACAGAGAAAAGATAGGACTGTGAAAACATCAGTTTTTCTTTTCATTACATACAGGGAATTCAAATAGAGAGAAAGGGCCAAAGAAAGATGGTTTTCACAATGAAAATATGCTACATAAATATGCAAATTTACCTCACTAAAACAGCAAAAATAACTGCAGCTCTGGAGAGGTATACTCATGTAAAAGAAATAAAACTGTGTGCAGGATATAAAACAGTATCTGGACAATACAAATGCAGCTTGGAAAATAAGAACTGGGGCAAGTCTTTACCTACTCTGTTTTATCAGAGATTTTCAACCTTAACAACAAATCCAACCCAAGAGGTTGAATTTAATTTCCAGGTTCCATTGAACATGGCTTTAGACTGACAAATATTAGATGACTGGTGTTAGAGGAGATAGAGCAGTTCAAAATCCTTGACCTTCATTCTGTTAGTCACCCAGGAAAGTCTCTAAATGCAACAATCATGAGCTGATAAGAGTCTTTAGCAATGGGAGTATGAGCCTTAATGCCAAAAGCACCTTTTTTTTTTTTTTTTACACAAAACCATATTTTGTAACAACATCCACTTTCACAAACAAGTTCCTCTTCTCATATAGCACTGTGATTTACCATGCCATTTTGGCAAGATATGGGTTGCTCAAAAAGGGCTTGGGTGAATAAAATGCTGCCTTCAGCAAGTTGTATAATATGGCATTAAAACTGAAGAACCAGCATTAAAAATGAATAATTTCCCCGATGGGCTTTTTGCCAAATGGACACTGAGAAAAAGTGTATTTCTACTGCAAATTCAACATACAAAGTGTACCCCATTCTTCTATAAGGGTGTTTCTTTTCAGAGTACAGTTAACTTAATGAGCCCAATCCATATGTCCATTCCTACTTTAAGCAGCTCACGCTAATCAGCATCTGTTTCAGTCGTTCACCAGAGTCCTGTTGCACGCAGCCCCCCATTCTGACATCAATTCACACACAAATACACAAACACAACAAGAGTGGTAAGCATTAAGAGTAAACACACCGTGTTCTGACTAAGGTGTGAATTGGAAAACTCACACCTTGGGCAAACACAACACTTCAGTCCAACACATCATTAATCAGCCCTTAATTAACTAAAGAGAGAGGCTTGCAGACTCAAGTGATGACTACGTGTAACTCCCCCCATACAAACACACTGTCACATGCACAGGGACACACGCGACACTAATGAGAGATCAATTAGTGTTGCCAATTAATCTGCCTGGCTATAAGGCAATAAAAGATCTAAAATACATCATCTTTTCCCTAAGTCAATCATTTACAGCATTTCAGCTATTTATTAAAAATACTTTTAAGATAGGCAGTTCAATAGCATGTAGAAGTGGTCTGAAAATTAAATCAGTGATTCAAGGCTACATAGCCAAGTTTAAAATAGTAACACAAATAAAAATATATTTAGCAATCCAACAAGTCTTACTTGCAAGCTTTTTTAAACTTGAGAAACAGTCACTCCAGATTCATATGCAAAAAATGTACAAATGGAAATAATGCTTTACCATGTCACTTGAATTATATCAACTTAAATCCCCTACAATAAGACTGGCAGTATAATGAAGTTATACTTTGTGCCTTTAAATGGGTAAAATTATGGGCTTGTTACTGAAAAGTACAACATTTAGCTTTAGCTGATCAAGTGTGAACAAGCTAACCAGCCAATCAGCCTTGTTTAATACAAATGTCAATATGATATATATTTCTATTTTAATATTATATATACATATATTACAGATTTTGTAGGTTCTCTCTTCTCCCACCATGACTTGCAGGCTCCTCCAGATAGCATGGCTAACATTAACCAGACCTGAGATCACAGCTTAAGCTCAGCAGTTACCTGAGAAAATGTGATTCAATTTGAAGGCCACCGTTAGCCTAACTGGTGACAAACCACACACTGATGTCTTATTTTACGTCACTGGGCAATATGAAATCTTTTTTCAAAAAACATTTTAGTGTTAGTATGGCACAATTCCTAAAACAAGCAATGTTTAAAAGAGCACTGCTGAGCACCTGTGATTTAATCTGTAACATATTATCCCTAGTCCAGCACAAAAAAATGAAAGACAAAGAGA